TTCATTTTTAATAATTAACCAGCTTAATTAATTGACTTTGGCATTTTCTCTGATATAATCGATAACAGCGATTAATAATTATTAATCCATCAGAAAGAAGGGGAAAGGTGGGGGTTATTTGTTGAGCAAATTTCAACTGAACTGTTGTTAGAGAGTGTATCATACACACACAAAGAAAAAAAACTAAACGCATGATCCGGGGATTGGGTTAGGTGGTGAGTGGGGTGCTTGGGAATCTAAAATGTCTTATTTAATGTTTTCACTGATCCCTCCTCAGCATTTTCATTTGTATCGATGCCGTTGCAGTAACTTGCTTGCTAGCTTGCTTGCTTGCTTGTTCGTGTCGATTCGTAGAAGAATACTACTACTACTACTACTCTACTCTACCTGCTTGATGTTTGCTTTTAATCATTTTTGCTGGAGCCTGGCGAAACGTAAATCTCATAAATACATAAATACAAAAACCGGGTAGTAGTAGTATAGCTAGCCTCCGGGCGAATCAGCGACGTTAGCACGATCCCATCCCCACCCACTCACTTCAGTGTATTCCCCCACCTCAACCCAACCCAATCCCTACTCCCCATCCCCATTTCCACCTCCTCCTCCTGTATTCCAACCGTCCATTCTAACCCCCCAAACCCCTCGAATATAAAGTGCTTCCTTCAAACGTCCCCTACCCCTCAACCCCTGTTTCCTCACGCATCCAGGGGTGAAACGTAAATTATCGTTGATTTCTCTTCTACATTCGTCACGATTGATTAGGGAAACATATAAAAAGATATCTGAACTATTATCATCACCAATTACTATTATAAATCATGTGTTTTATTATTATCTGTCATTATATTATACTTAGATTTATACTAATCAATATATTTTTCCGTATCAAAACGTTTTTTAACCTGTTAACCAGATGGACGTATAAATACGTCAAACGTATTTTACGTATTTTATATATAAATAAACGAAAAAAAATATCATAGTCTTTTCATTTATTTTAATCAAAAATAATAAAAAAAAGGTACGTAATTGAAAATTACACACCTTAACTTTTCAAAGGAAAAGAATCTTAAGTCAAATAAGGGTTGGGGGTTAGATAGAGAAATATTGTTGAACGTATATATACGTTCACTTAACAGTACTCAAAGGGTTAAACATTATTTAGTTCTAATAAGGGATTATTATGTAATATTAATTAAACGTATTTGATTATAATCATCCAATTAACAATTGGATACTGTATATTAAATTGTTGTCTTATTCTCGTTGTTATTCTCTTGTTATTTTCTCTTTACATGCACACACATACGTATATACACCCATTTATGTGTATTAGGATGTATAGGGTGGAATGATCAAAGAGAATATTTTATAAACTATATCAACGGAAATTCTGTCTGTGTTCTCACTTAGTATACTAAGAGGAATCGTTTGGTTATTAGCCTCGAGAATATCTCACCAACCAACCAACCAACCCTCATTTCATCCCTATCATATACATACACATATACATAAAAGTTTACTTATTCTAAATATACCCTTTTTCCTAAATTGTTGGTCAAAATTATTTCTAATCGATTATTATCACGTTCAATTTGTCCACTGATCATTCTATTGGGTTTTCCAGAACTTCTCAGAAGTTCTCAGGTTTTTTACCAAAATAAACTTTATGTCACCTACTGAACATCAGTAATGAACTTTCTGGACACCCAATAAAATAATTTTACAAATATGTCTCAAAAAACAAAGAAATAAAACCCTTTTTTTATCCTAACCTCAAATTATCGCAAAGATTTCATCCAAATTATAATAATAATAAAAAGATGATTAAACAACAAGAATTATTTATTGATAATTAACAAAAGACCTAGGAGCTTATATATTATTAATCTGAAGTCAAAGAGATAAAACTGAATTAGAGATAAGTGGTGGGAACGGTTATAAGAGAGAAGAAAAAAGAAAGAAAATAGTGGTGGTTGTTGGTGGTGTTGGTTTGATGGAATAGGAACGGGCAAGCAGAGATCCATGATGATGATAAAGAGTATGACAGGGTGGTGAGGGTATGGGAAGAGGAAGAGGGGACTTGAATGATGAAGAAAGAAAGACATAACCTCTCTAACTTTAGTGGTTCCCTTTGTGAAACATTTAAAGTGCGTCCCTTGGTCCTCTCGGCAGCAAGCCGGCTTAATTAGCGCTTGGATAATATGTCTCATACTCTCATTTGCTACATTTTATATATATATACATAGTTCTATCCTTCTCTTTCTTTCTTTTCCACATTTTATTTTATTTTTTCCACCCTTATATTTCTTTTTACTGTGGTTTATCACTCGAACTCTGTACTATGCCTATATACTTAATCCCTGGTATACACATACACACACAAACATATATATATATATAAGTGAGAGATTAGGAGTTGGGAGTTGGGTTGGGGGTTAGTTGGTAGGGATGTATGTATATATGTATGTGTGTCTTTCTCTCATCTTTCGAGTTTTGAGATGGGGGGGCTTTTGTTTCGCGGCCTTCGACCGTGAGATAATTCCTCTGGTGAGATAGAAAGAGATAGAAAATCAACTCAACGTTAATGTCGACCCTTTTCCTTCTATTGGCCTCCACCTCCTCCACCCTTTTCCTCGTGTCCCTTTTCTCTCTTGGGTATTGCTATTCACTCTCCTCATTCTCTTTCTTTTACGTACTTTGTATAATTTTGTTCCACATTACTTATACCAATTTAAAATCTCTTTGTTTTGTACTCAACTGGCGGCAGAAATTGTACCCGGAAACATTTCTCTCATCTTTTTTTCTTTTTCTCTTTCTTATCATTCTCTTCTTCTTCTTCTTGTTTTATTTTTTGGTTCTGCTTTTTTATTGGCTAACAAACATCACCCTCTTTCATACCTATCTTTTTATTTTTTTTTTTTTTTACATAATCTATAATAATACTAAGGAAAACATCTTAAATGTTTCAATACAAAAGTTCCCCTCTTATATTCTGTATTTTGTTTTTTATTTGTTTTATTTGCTTCTAATAAAATGCAATTGTTTTATCATTTTTCTATTATTAGAAAATAACATTTCTCATAAATATCTTTATTAGTATTTAATTAAATGTAATATTAAAATCAATTGCATGTTAACAATCACAATAATCATGAAACATCTAACATTCAAAAAATCAAAAGTTTTAAGGGATGATCTCACATATACTTTTTACACACACACACACACACACAGTGGGAACAATTCGTTCTCCATTAAATCTGTCACGTCTTTCAAATCCAAGGGAATCACATTAATAATTATTGTTAGCTCGTAATTAGCAATGACACACCGACGGATGAAATTGCTGGAAGGGTAGTTAGGAATTGGGAAGGTGGGTGGTGGAGGAGGTTATGATGTTGATGATGATCATCATCATCATCGTACAGAGAGAAAGAGAGAAGAATGATGGGTGCTAGTATTAGGGAAAGGGGGTGGGTGGAGATGGGAGGGAAGGAGGAATACACAAATGCCATAGGAGGAAGAATCGTCACACAGAATTCACATCCATGTCGATTGTTAATACTCGGATTCTATCTGTTCATATCTCAACATATCCCCAATCCTATACTGCCATTAGGGGTAGGTATGTATATGTGTGTGTATGTATGGATAGTATACGAACAATGATTGACAGTTACTCCCTAGAGTAAGAGGATAATTCAGTAGGTTGCCTCGTTCGTTTCATGTGCAACCAATAATCCGTTTCAAAACTGGCCGTCGATTTTCAAACGATTGAATTGTGTTGTTGGGGTATTGGTGGTAGTGATGGTGGTGTTGGGGTTGGGTGTACCAGTAGATTTTCAAAAGGCCCCAGGTATTCCCTAAGCTAATTGGGATTGACTTTGTCATTAGTTTAACTGGAAAAGATATAGAAATAAAAAGTAACTATGAAGAAATATTACTAGCAAATGGTAACTTTTCTTTGTACTACGTGTGAAATAATATAATTGAATGATTGACATATTTCTGTGATTTAAATGATCATTCTATTGATCATTGTTGTTGTCCTTATATTAACTAACCTAAAATAATTCCTAAATAAATTCCTAAATTCCTAAATAACCTAAAATCATTTCCAAAAAATGAAATAATTAAAACCTAATGTTGAAGTTGTTGTCCTCAATTAATAACATGGGTTTACTGAATGAAGTATACGATGAGAAACATAAATCATAATAATCAAATTAGAATTTGTTCTTTGATTGTTTGATGATCGCGAGAAGAAATTTGGTTTTTTCTTTAGGAAGACACTCCAATACTGGTCGGTTATGTTTTTTTTTTCTTCTTCCTTTTAGTTAGACCCTCTCTTATTCCAACTCTTCAGCAAGACGACTTTTCTTCTCTCTTTCTCTTTAACTCTATACTCAGCTTGCTCTGACCGAAAGGGAAAGAACTTTTTAATTGGGCACCCTTAATTAGTTAACCAGCGAAGTCTCGGTAATTATTCTGTTTCTCGCTCTCGGGTATCGTGCGGCGGTTACTTTTCTCTACCTACTCCTATATATATATACCTTTACCTATACCTACCTCTATATCTACCCAACCCCCAAACCTCTAACCTATCTTTTTCCCCTCTTCCCACCACCATTTTCCTTTCCTTCCTTCATACTCACACACACATTTCTTCTCTTGCTCTCTCACTCTCACCCTCTCCTACCCTTACTCGAATTTCTACCCCTCGGAGTATGCCGACGATGATTAGCGATATTTACTCAACTTTATGCCCAATGAATGCGAAGATACGAGCAAAGAAACGCATTAGATTCGATTGCTGTCTGTTTTTTTTTATGTATTTATTATTAATTGTCTGATATAATTATTGTCCAAGCTTTCAACTAAATTATGTATGATTAGGTTATGTATGAAGGTTATGAAGAAATATTATGAAAAAAATGGTAACATTAGTGTTGTCCAATGCATTTGATTAGTTGTTTCGAAATTTTGTTGTTTGACAGAAGGCGGTAGACAGATAGGACCTCACGCATGTACAGTTTGTCAAGACGTTGTTGAAGGAAACGCCCAGAGTCGTGCATTACCACGTAGCCAAGCTTCCCAATATGGTTTAAGAGAGGATCAAGTACCACCAGGTGCAAGAGTATGTAATACCTGTAGATGCAAAGCCGTTAGAGGACGTTACACAGCCTGTCCATTACCTGGTTGTCCTAATCTCAATAATAGTAGTTCCAAGACCAGAGTTAAACGATTACGCGCACTTCCAGCCAAATGGCTTGATTTACCACCAGAAATTAGAGAACAAATTATTCAAGAATTTCGTAAGTATCATCTATCATCATCTTCTAACATTTTGCTAGATTCAATTTGAATGTAATTTTGGAAATTTTGCAGAGATACCAAGTAGCACTACCAAGTGTTGTTCGGCATGTTTCAATCGAATATCAAGAAGATTGGCATCACATTTAACCGGTGGTGGTACAGACATTTCTGAGGATGGTACAGATTCATTGATGAGACAATGGACCGATGAAGAATTGGATCAATTGAAAAGGGCATTGCGTGAACATGGTACCAATTGGTCAAAGGTTGCTGACAAAATTCCGGGAAAGACTAATCACCAATGTAAAAATTATTATTTTACTTATCGGAAAAAGTATTGCTTGGATCAAATAGTAGCCGAATATTATCAATCATTGGGCGAAGAAAGAAGACCATGTTTGACCGATGAAGAAGAAAGTGGTAGCAGTACGAGTAGTTGCGACGAATTAGCCGTAAATATATTTGTTTCTTTTTTTTATCTATATTTTATCAGTTATATGCTGTACAAATCTCATAAACGTTGATATTTTTGTTGAATTGTGATTATTCACTCATTTATTTATTTATTCAGGTGCATGATTCAAGTGACACGGCAAGTGCTGGTAGTCCAGCTAACACTGTAACCGGCAGTACAACAGCACAAACAACATCCTCAACGTCGTCAACATTGCCTATTACGTTTGCACAATCAATAGATTCTAAAATTGGGGATAAACTAACAGAAATAGCTGTGGTTTCTTTGATTCCACCAGTTAGCATTGGATCATCTCAACAATCCTCGGCCAGTGTTGGTGCTGGTGCTGGTGGTGGTACTATTGTAACGGCGGGCAATAGAGAAGATTACGATAGTTCTGCCACGGTAAGAGATAGCACTAAAGTTCTTTTAAATTTAGATAGAAAAAAAAAACAAAAAACAATGAATGTATTTTTAATATTAAAAGTAGAACGCTTTTTTATAGTAAAATGTTAACTTAGTTAGGTTTTATCAGTTCTATTTATCTATTTTATTTTGCTTATTTATGCAGGGTGAAACCAAAGATTATTTACCAAAAAGATTTGTTGTCCATTGTTCATTGTAATGCTTACAAAAAGTTTGCTTTAACCCTTTCACTTCGAGCGCCGGATATATCCGGCACCATCCAAACAAGAAAAGATTTTCTCGAAACTTTGGATTCAACCTGGATGATATATTAGATAGATAAATATGATCTTTTATCAAGATAGGGCCGTCTGATAGAGGTTCGGTGATTGTTTCAGGAGACGGCGGACGAAGGTCAGGGTGGCGCAGATTTGGACAATAATAGTGTTGTTGTGACACTGACTACTGCCAGCAATAACAATTCATCATTGCAACAACATCCGCAGGCACCACCTGTAGTGCATTCACCACCATCAAACAAGAGCAGTAATAACAATCCCTTAACGGTGAAAGATCTCATGTTAGGCGTGATAGAAATGCAATTGAAAAGAACTCCGAATAGTCCAGCCGGTACCGGTGATTTATCGGTGCCCGTTAATTCCGGTACACCGACGATATCGAGTATTTTACAATCGGATCATATGGATGATCATCCACCTTTTTATCGTGATTTCAATCAGAGTATCATCAAGGCTGCGATGGCAAGCCGCGAGGCAAATTTGGCAACACTTTCAGTAGTATCGGGTCCTCATCATAGTCATCGTTCTGCACCGAGTCCTCAACAAATTGGTAAGTTTGATATTAATCATCTAATAATTAAGAAAACATTTTGGAAAACAAGTTGGCAATGGAAACAATTTTATTTTGTGTAGGTCAAATGCAAGCAACTATCACACCTTGTCCACCAACAACGCTTAGTAGCCAAAGTTCATCATCGGATATGTTACCTAAAGAAGGCCTAGTCGTGATGCAAGTACAACAGGCATTACGTGAGACCGAGGGTACCCTCGACTTGAGTATCAAAAAGCCAAGACAACAACAAGAATACAATCACACGATGCAAACTATTCATAAGCCATCGACAGTAACAATTTATCGTTCGGAACCACCTATTGGTTCATTTTATCATCCTCACGCTCCTCATTCAGATCAAGGACGAGGAGCTAAGAGTCCTTTAATTTATGCAGCCTCGCCTAGACCACAAGCTCCTCTAACACCGAAGATGAACAAAGTATCCGTACCACCACCTCATCCAAAATTATCACCGAAGTTAAGTAACATTGGAACGGCTACTCATAAAGGTGGATCCATCACTCACGGTACACCAGTGTCGAGTGCACGTTACGAAGGTTTGTTAAGACAAATGACACCTCCTGGAAATACAAGTAGTGGTGTGAGTACTGCAAACGTACCAACTGGTGGTGTTGGTTCGGTAGTCAACACTTCAGGAAGTCAAGGTCCGAAAGAAGCTGGCTCGATAACTCAAGGTACACCGGTTCATCCGTTCACGGTAGAAAAACGTCCACCAATGTACGATTATCGTACCATTCGACACTCACCCGTGACCACTGGAAACGTTCCTGGACAAGGTCAGGTTCAGCCAGCGGCAGCCACAGTAGTGGTAACTCATAGCAATCAATATAACTCTTATTCGAGTCGACCACCACCAAGTTACACGATGGAACAACAATTGTCATCGAGACAATTGATCATGAACGATTACATAACCAGCCAACAAATGCACGCTCGTAGTCGTGGCAGCAGCGGCACCTCGGCAGAAACTGCGGCTAAGAACGAATCACCTTCGACACTTTACTTTCCAAGTACACCACCACCTCAAACGCACACGCAAAATCGTCAAGGTGTCATACAAAGGCATAATACGCAAAAACCGATGCATTATGCACCACCCCCGCCTGGGTTAGAAGCGTTCTCGAGTCTGGTAGATGTAGCGGTACAACAACCGAGTCTTCCAGTTCCACATCCCCATAGTCATCCTGCTTCGGGCAGTGGTGGTCACGAAGGATTAGGAAAAACAATGGCGGATAGATTGTTGGCCGATCGATTCGTCGATAACAACAGGGTATTCCGCGAAGAGATACGTCTGCAAGAACAACATCGTATGGCGATTCAACAACAGCATCAAGTTGAACACAGAATGGCTCTTGCGCATCATCATCAACGTGACAGAGAAAGGGAACGCGATTTAGCTCATTTACGTGAAAAGGAGGAACACAGGTTGCAAAGAGCAGAAAATGAATATCATTTGGAACAACGTTTGGCTGTTCAGCAACATCATTTACGTGAGAAAGAGATTCAACAACAAGAACACCGTTTAATACAACAACGTGAAAAAGAAATCCAACACGTAGATCATAGATTATCGTTACAACAAAGGGAAAAGGAACATGCCGAACATCGCATGTCCGTTCATCAACAAAGAGAAAAGGAAATACATCAACAAATGGCAGCTGCTGCTGCGGCTCAAAGGGAAAAAGAACATCAGGAGCAAAGTTTGAGAGCTCAGCAACGAGAAAAAGAATTGCAACATGAAAGGCTTATTAGTCATCAACAAAGGGAAAAAGAAATGCAACATCAACACGCGGAACATCGTTTGGCCATGCAACAACAAAGGGAACGAGACTTTGCTCATATGCAACAACAACAACAGCAACAGCAACAACAACAACAACAAATACACCAACATATTCAACAACAGCATCGCTTTGAAGTTGAGAGACGACACATGGTGCAATTGTATCGCGACCAACAACAACAGCAACAACAACAGCAACAACAAATAGATAGAGAATCCTCAAGATTATTGAGCAGCGGATTTTCACAATCCTCGAGACTTCAACAACCACAACAACAACCATCCCAACAACCATCCCAACAACAATCGCAATCGTCATCCCGTCAACAAAATCAATCCTCTAATCAACAACAAAACGAAACTTCGTCGACTATGACTGCAGCGAGTTTGATAGATGCCATTATAACGCACCAGATTAATCAGAGTGTTGAGAATACTGGAGGACGTGCAGTGTCCAATAATCAACCTACTCGACCAGGCGATAGATTATTCCAAGTAAGACAATAATACAAATATTCAATAATAATAATAATTACATGTACTAAATTAATTAAATAAGTTATTATTAAAATAAGTGTACAAAATTGAAAAAGTACAATGTCTTTCCAGGAATTCCATCTAGACACACAGACAGAACCTAATGGCATGGTACACAGTCCAGCAAGTGAGGGGAGAGGAAACAGCGGAGCAGGTGGTGGAGGTGGCAACGGAAGCGGAAACAAGGCTATTACTCTAGGGGAACATGTCGATCATATTGTAACTAAAGATTACGGGCCTCTACATTCATCGTATAGATCTTATACCGGGTAAGAAATCTTCTTTAGAGAAAAACTTAACGAAATACAATCGAATTAAAAAGTAAATATTATTCTTATGTTGTTATAATAATATGCAAATGTTATATTCAAAAAAGAAACAACAATAATAATAATAAAAATCATAAAAAACTAGAGTCTCTGTACGGTTTCCCTCGTACGATAGATATCAAATTTCGGAGGAACAATGGAAGTTGCGGAAAGGAAACGAAGCTGACTCCGTGAAGACTGGTGACGAACGACAGATAATACGAGTTGCTCAACAACAATCCCAACAACAGCAACAGCAGCAGCAACAACAGCAGCAACAGCAGCAACAACAACAACAACAGCAACAACAACAGCAGCAACAGCAGCAACAACAACAGCAACAACAACAACAACAACAACAACAATCCTCATCCTCGGTGGGGAAGCAACAGTTCCATTCCGTCGAACCAGTCTCTCCTCCGGAAGCTAACACGAATCATTACGGGCGTCGCTTCTACGAAACGAGCACTGCCACCTCAACTTCCGGTACACCCTCTAACAAACCACACCTATCTCCACTGGATTACGTTAAGAATAAAATCGTGGAGGTGATGCGTACGTCCGAAGATGATAAAGCTGGATCAACGGGAGGAGGAGGAGGAGAAAGAGAAAGAGAAAGAGAACGAGAAAGGGAAAGAGAAAGAGAACGAGAAAGGGAAAGAGAAAGAGAACGAGAAAGGGAAAGAGAAAGGGAACGAGAAAGAGAAAGAGAAAGAAACGGTGGAGGAGGAGGAGGAGGAGGTAGTGGTGGAGGAAGCGGAGGAGGTGGTTCAAGTGGTACCGTTGGTGGTAATACTGGAGGTTCCACCGGTGGTGGTGCTGGTGCTGTTGGTAATGGTGGTGGTACATGTGGTGTAGTAGGTAGTGTTGCTGGAGGAGTTGTTAACAGCGGCACAGGTAGTGGTAGTGGCGGTGGTGGTATTGGTGGTAGTGGTAGTGGTAATAGTGGCAGTGGTAGTGTCGTTACCGGTAATAACCCTGTATCCGGTGGTCCTGGAAATTCATCGACCGTTGAGAAAGACGATAAATCCAATATGAACGTCGATAGTCCTGCTAACAGCGAAATGATAGTTGACGATACATCCAACAAACAAGTCCAACAACAATCAGCTAATCAAGCTACCCCAGCTCCGCCAGCTCCCACTACTACTTTTTATCCGTTCAGTGCATTGGGTGTTCATACTGGACCACCTCCAGCACCTCCACCTCCAACCTCAGTCTCATCTGCCGTTTCCAAATCCGATCAAATGCAACCGGAACCGGCACCTTTGCTTTCCGCTCAATACGAGCCACTTTCGGACGAAGATTGATAGTCTGTTGTTCATACTTTTTTAGTTAAGGCAAGCTGGAAAGCCATGACGCTTTATTTATCAGGATTTCGGGACGATGTCGTAATCATATTCGACATATACGAATTGGGTAGAAGGACACGTGCATAAATTGCATCATATATTAACGTATTATACACGACACACACATAGTAGACACACCATATAACTCTCGGACGATTCAAATTAGTGTCTTTCTTTATTTCTTATTTTTTTTATGTATTATTATTATTCTTGATTTTATTTTTCGTCTATCATTTTTCTTTCTTTTCTTTTGTTCATTTTAAATTCACTTAAAATATCCGTGAGCGACCCAATTATCAAGACTCCATATTTATTTTTTTTTTTTTTTTTCATTTTCTTAACGTCTCATTTTAATTTTTTCCTTCCTTCATTTTTGTTTATATTATTATTATTATTATTATCGTAATGAAAAATATAACAAAAATATATGGATTTATAAGGATTATAATATATTATTAAAAATTTGCTAAATAGTTTTAAACGAAGAAATTTTTAAAAACATGAATTATGTATTATAATAAATAAATAAATATATATATATATTATATGCATATATATATATATATTTATTTATTTATTTATGTATATGTACATAAATTTATTACTTAATTTTCAAAACTGCTGCACAACAGTCTGTCAACTTTTTGTTCATTTAAAAATAACGAAATTACGTAGCATCCAACATCAAGAACGCCATTTTGATTTTACATTGCAAAAGAAAAAAGACCATAACCTTCCCTGTATAAGCCATTTATTATTGATAAAAATAATATATATAATAATATAATTAATAATATTAATAATAATAATAATGAAAGGTAAAGAAAAAAAATGAAGTCATGGCTAGTCCTGAAATTATTAAAAAAAAAAAAAAAAAAGGAAAAAAAAGTAAAATGAGACTAAAAGAAAATGGTTCCTGAAGAAATACACACACACACACACACTAACACTTACACGCAAACGCTTTTTTGTACATAAACGATTAATTAATACACATATATTATTATTATTTAGAAATAAATAAATAAATATGTATATTAATTTTAAAAAAAAACGTAAAATGGAAAAATAGGCTGAAATGAAAAAAAAGAAAGAAAATGGTAGAACTGTAGGAGGATGAGGATGAGGATGAGAAAATGGAGGTGGAAATGGAGGATGGGGCGTGCGTGCGAGTGATTTTTATTTCGTATGTGGTCCTATGATGTGTCTAGAAATTTTAATAATGAATGACTCGATATAACCTAAAAAAAAAAACTTAAGAAAATAGAAAACCTGTTAAATATATATATGTATATACAGTAAATATACAAAAAATACACATAATGCATAGGCAAAAAACAACAAACAAACATATACATATATATATAATAAATCAAGTATGAATTGTATTAGCCTGTGTAATAGTGTGCGATTTAAAAACAAACAAACGAAAAAAAATGAGAAAAAAAAAAAGAAAAAAATGATGAACATAATTTTTCTTTTTCGCTGAACAGAAAAAATTAATGAAACTTCAATTGAGTACGTACGATGGGGAAAATCGTGATTAATTCGAATATTGATGCAATTTATTAGCACGTCAAGAAAGAGAGAGAACGATATTGACAATGTATGAGAGAATGAGAGAGAATGATGTTAACAATGTAGAAAAAAAAGAGAGAGAACGATTTTGACAATGTACGAGAGAGAAAGAGAAAGAGAAAAGGAACAATGTGTGTCAGAGAAAGGGAGGGGAGATCGCCATTTTGTTTTGACTTTGAAAATGGAGAAGTCAAAAGAAAATCTAATTAAATGAATAAATAAATAAATAAATATATACAAATAATACGAGAATAATAATAATAAAAAAAGAACGATTATCCATAATAAAACAAAAAGAATAAAAAAAAAACTACTAATAATATACCATCAAATTATTATTAACATCTCATATCTCATTTTTTTGGTTATAAATAAGAGAAAGACTTTGAAAGAAATAAATTAAAATCGAGAAAGAGAGAGAGAGAGAGAGAGAGAAACGCGGGAATTTTAAAAAGGAAAAAACAAAGAAGAAAAGAGAAAAATTATAAATTGGAAAAGAAGGAATGATTGAAAAAAAAAGAAAAGAAAAAAAATAGAAAAAAAAAATAATAAACAAAAGGATTGTGTAACTTCTTAATAACTGTTGTACATAAAAATAATACATACATACTATTAATTTCTAAGCCAAGCAAATTAGTTATACAATACTATTGATGATGACTAATTTTAATTGTAATAATGCTATTATTAATTATATTATTATTATTATATGATTATAATTATTGATTATTAATTATTATTATTATTATTATTATTAATTGATTAATAAAAGTCTAGGTTTAATAGTGTATAATAAGTGACGTAGCTAGCATTTAGGGGTTTAGAAATATGCAACCACGAACTGACTAGGGAAAAAGAGTATTTTGTTTCTAATTTTTTTTTCCCGATACTACGTTCTCTTATTTAATTAGAATAATAATTTATACATATATATATATATATATATATATATATATATATATATATAT